GAGACCGTTTCAGGCTGGACATAAGGAAGAATTTCTTTACTGTCTGAGCCCCCAAGGTCTGGAACAGCCTGCCATTGGAGGTGGTTCAAGCACCTACATTGAACACCTTCAAGAGCAAATTGGATGCTTATCTTGCTGGGATCCTCTGACCCCAGCTGACTTCCTGCCCCTGGGGCAGGGGGCTGGACTCGATCTTCCAAGGTCCCTTCCAGCCCTAATGTCTATGAAAGCTAAAAAACATGACAGCACCGACTGCTTCCAATCCAGCTTGTGCAGCCACTGTCAGTGCTTCCTCTGCCATGCAGCTGCTCTTGCTTCTCCCTTCCACCTATGTGAGACTGCACCCTCCCTTCCCCCCCCATCTCTGCAAGCAAGATAAAATAGCTCCATAGTCTGAAGCTAGTCTGGGAGCTGTAGGTTGCTGACCCCTGCCCTAGTCGATAGGAATGTCTGTATCCCACTACTCGCAAGACCCTGAACAAAAGGAAAAGGTTTGATAGTGGGATGTTGATTGTGCTGAGAGTAGTTTTGAACTGCAGGCTTTAACTGCAGTACTTCTTGAAGAGAAATTTTTCTGTTTCTGCCACCCCCAAAATAGGTGAATTGCTAGTACAAGAGGTCATAGTGATGAGCATGGGTGACCTCTTCAATGAATAGATTCCCTGTTTATTACTTCTGTAGTAGGAAGGCAGCTTTAGTTTAGCTGTAGTTAGGATAAGTTTTGATCTATATTCTCTCTCCTAACTTTCAGAAGAAAGTTGTCCGAGGTGGAATATCCAAGCCCAAAGGGGGGGCTGCTGAAAAAACGGCCAGAAATCGTTTTGCTGCTTTCAGGGCAGTAATGAAGGATAAAATAAAGCAGGAAGGAGGCACTGAGCCTACAGCCCAAAGGATGCCAAAGGAAGTAGAAAAAGTGGTGTTTGAGGCTGGATTTTTCAGAATTGAAAGTCCTGTGAAATCTTTTCCAGGTCAGTACATTTTATTCTTATTTCTGTGACTGGGGGCTACTGAAGGAACTCATGCTGGGGCATCAGAGGGGAATTTGCTTTGAATTGGACCAGATTTGTGTAACTGCAGCTCTTCTGGATGGTGGTGCTTCACCTCAAACACAAGGGAACCTAAGGAAAATATATTTTGCACAGATATGTCAATTTTAATTAATTTCTATAAACTGAGGTGTCTGCTGTACAAGTTCACGATAATGTAAAAATGTTTTGTCAGGGCTTATCAGTATCTAGTTAGCTATGAAGCTTTTAAGCTATATACTTTTGTTAGTTATGTGAGCAGAACAAAGCTTCCAGATCTTGACAAGGAGATTTATGCCTTTTAGAAGAATCATAGAGAAGTTGGGTTGGAAGGGACCTCCAGAGGTCATCCCTATGTAAACCATCCTATACAGTTCTATTATCTAACCACTTAGTAAACCTACCATCAATTCTGACACTACACAAGACAACACCTTAACTTGCCACAGGTAAAGCGGGGGGGGACCATGGCAGCCAACATGCTGCTACAGTAAAAAGTTGTTAATATACAGTCAAGAGATCCTAGGTAGTGCTCAAGGGATCCCAGGTAGAAGCACCATGTTGGTCATCTAGTTAAGAGCATACTGTATATTATTATATACTGTATTGCAGCTTGATTGACAGGCCAGTATTTTCAGTACCTGGATCCCGAGCCATTAAAGACAGCCACTTAACCTTTTTTGTGCCACCTTTCTAGATGTTAATAGTTGCTCAATTGCTGTTTTTCTTTGATTCTATTCCATATGATGAACACTAGTAATATTTTTTTGAATGCACCTCTAATTCCTTGAGGCCTTTAAGTGAGAAGGATTCAGCACTGGGATCTTCTGGCAAAACTAAATCAGAGTTGAATCAGAATGATTTATAAACTTGATGCTGCCATTTAAAATCTAATTCTTAAAGATCTTTATTAATACTATAAATTAAAGTGAAATAAATACTAACTATATGCTGTGTATATCTTCATTAGTTTGGTCAGTAAAACAGGAGTGTAAACCAGTCAAGTCTGTTTCCTTCCAGTTTTTATAGTAGCATATTTTTTAATGGAAAGGATGTAAAAACTGAAGATTTGTGCTAGAATAAATTGAATTGTCATGGCTTTTTAAATTTTTTTGGACTCCTTAAGCTGTATTAGTGGCATCTGCAACCTAGTTACTACTACTTATCCTACTGGCAAATGGTGAAAGTGGTAAATTAGGAAATATTTCTAATTATAATCTTGGTAACGTATGTATCCTTGTTCATAAAAACACTTATCATCTAATGAAACACTAAAAACTTTTTTAGGTTTGCTTTCCAAGACACCTGGCAGAACTTCCCAGCAGGTTTCTAAAACTATGACAACTCCAAGGTCATGCAGTCGAACTTCACTTCAAAATGCCTGTGCAATTCCCTGCAACTCTGAGAACACTGTTACAATGCAATCTATGCCAGCAGCCAGTGGTTTCTGTGCCCCACAAAATTGTAATACAATCCAGTCTCCATCAGAAAAAAACCTGTTGGGCAGCAATCCTGAGCAAAGGTAAATGCACAAATGCAGCTTCATTTTAACTAACAGAAGTAACACATTAACTTTTTAACATAAAGATATGGACTCCTCGTAGTGCACATGATTACTATTAACACTTAATAAATTTTACTTTTTTAAAACTCTGCAGGGGTAAGTTGTTAGCTTGTTTTCCTTCCTTCACCACCCTCTGGTCATTAGTAGGCCTTTGCTTCTAAACATAACTTCACTGTGTGATTTATATATGTACTCTTTGGGCAAAAAATATTGATATAGCTAACTAATGACAAAAATACCAATATAATGGTGTAACAAACCATATAATAAAAACCAGTTTAAGTGCAAATCTGAAGTTTTGAAAAGACTGAATGTTTGAGTTTCTCTTTCAGTGATTTTCCAGCTGCAGAAGAACAATGCCTACTGATAAATGACAGAGCAAAGAAAGAGAATGTGAGTTATACAATGAAACATACATAAGTATGTGTTCTAAATACAAGTATGTAGTGAAACCTGTAAATATTCACCCCTGATTCTAATGATCTCACAAACCACATTCTGCTTGCTGAGCATAAGATGTGAATTATGTAATGTGCTAATTGTTACAGCAGAGGAATAACAAATGTACAGCAGTTTATTTTGGCAGCTTTAAATACCTGAAAAGAGCAGTTGCAAATTGTGCATAATGTAGATTTATGGTAATACTGTAGCCTATGTCAGTAAAAACTAAAATTTTCAAGCACAGGGTGCTGTAATCATAAGTTACCATAGTTAACTATATCCTTGTGTTTTAATTACATGGGTATTCACAAAAACCAGATTCTGCCTGTAATGAATCAGAGTAATGGATTTAAAATGGCCAGATTTCTCTTGTGTAAATCTACAAGATAACTAAGTTATTCTGGAAGACACTAATTCACTGATTCTCAACCATAATTCTGGGGCACCCTGAGGTGCCATCAGATCCTTTGAGAGGTGCTGTAGTATGTAAGGAAATGATAAGATAAGACAGGCTGAGGCTTGTCCCTGCCTGGATGATCCTCCACCCCTACTGCCGAGCCTCTGTATTAGTTGGTGTAAGCACTGTAATGTATAAATTAGCTTTTGAAATTGGGTGCCACTCAATTCACAAAAGTGTTGGATGGATGCCTCAAGTCCAGTGAGGGGGTGCCTTGGGTCCAAAAACGTTGAGAACCACTGCTCTAGCTGCTCCTTCTTGCAGTTCTTTAATGGTGGAGTGGTAGTTTCTAGTGTAACTTGGCTTATGGCTGCCTTGGTCCTGACTCTTATTTTGTGTTTTCCATGTTCAGAGTTTTTTCACTGAAAACAAGGTAGAAAATAAATTAATTTCTGACTTGAACAAATCCCTACTTAAAAACTCTTACAATCCCACATTTTCTCTCTTCCCTTTTGACTCTCTAGGAAACAAATGTAGCTGCCGTGGAGGTGTGTTTACTCTCAGATGACAGAAGCAGCTCAGTTCCTTTTACTCAAATGTTGGAAAACCCTGAGAATAAACCCTCAGATATGACAAGGGAGATGGAGCTTTCTACTACAGATATAACAGGGCAAGATATTGTCATGAGCAGCCCAGAGAAGACTGCTCAGTCAGAAACCAATCTTGCTGAAGAACTGCATGTACTGGAGCATAAATCAGGTGGGCTGCTTTATAGCTGTGGTTTGCATCATAGAGAAGTAGGGCTGGGAGAGACCTTCATAGGTCCCCCTGTCTGAAGCTGGATCATCCCTATTCAAATCATCCTGCACAAATCCATTGTGTAACCCAGGGGTGCTGAACCCCCAGCCTGCGGACCAGATGTGGCCTGCAGCCCTGAGTCATCTGGCCTTTGGGGCTCCCTACAGGTCCAGAAATGTGATGGTGGGAGAATGGTCTCCCACTACCAAATTTCTGGACCCATGGGGAGCCCTGGGCTCGATGCACTGGACTGGGCACCCAGCATGCAGGACTGGGGGAGCTGCCAAGCCCTAGGACACAATCCTGGCGTGTTGGGGTAAGGGGGGCAGTGCCAGGCCCCAGGGTCCAATCTTGGTGGAAGAGGTTGGGACCAATCCCAGGCAGCAGGGGGTGGTGCTAGGCACCCAGGGACCAATCCTGGCTGGAGAGGGCAGTGCTGAGCCCCAGGGCCTGATTCTGGCATATGAGGTTTGATTTGGCCTGTGGACAGGCCCTGCCCCACTCATCTGATCCACAGGGTCAAAGGTTGGGCACTGCCGGTATAACCTATTAGCAAAACTAGTCAGCCCCAACATAACTGCAAAGCATAGCTCCCTATCTTGCTATAGGTAAAGCAGAGGGACCATGGCAGCCACCATCCTGCTGCTGCAAAGGCTGTTATAAAATACACTTGAGAGATCCCAGGTAGAGGGCCATGTCCCACCACACTATAGAAAAAGGCACGCCCCCCCTTGCAGTCCATACAAGTCTGACCATTGGGTAAAATTCCTTCCTGACCCCAAATGTGGTGATTGGTCTGACTGAGCATAAGAGAGAGACCCTTTAGCCAGGAACCTCTGGGTTTAAGTCCCAGCAGGGGTGTTGACACACCCCAGTTGCAATCCCCAGCTGTGGCTGCAGCCAACACCCAATGCCTCTGAGGAAGGCTTTGAAAAAATGAAAATCCACAACCCTGACGCATGTAGCAGCAGCTGGGGAAAAAATTGCCTTCTGGTCTCATGCAGCAACCAGCAAAGCCCAGAAGCATGGGAAATACCCATGGTAGAACAGGCATGGCTATACCTAGATCATCCCTGACCAATGCCTATCCAACCTCTCTTGAATACCACTAATAATGGAGTTTCTGCAACTTCCCTAGGCAGACTGTTCCACTGCCTCACTGTTCTAACAGCAAAGAGGTTTTTCCTGATATTCGGTGTAACCCTACTTTGCATCTTCAAGCCATTGGTCCATATTCTGCTCTGCAAAAAGATAAAAGATGTTTTCTCTCTTTTTTTTTTTTTTTTATAGCAGCCCTTCATGTATTTGAAGACTGCTATCATATCCCTTCTTAAGCACCTTTTCTGCAAGCTAAACATGCCTGTTTCTTTAGCTTTTCTGTGTATGACTTGCCTTCGAAGCTCACTTATTGTTTTTGTCACCTGTGGACCTTCTTTAACTTCTCTAAGTCCTTTCTAAAATGTGGAGTCCAAAGCTGCACGCGGTACTCCAAGTGAGGCCTAACCAGTGCTGAGTAGAGAGGCACTATCAACTCCAGTGTCTTGCACTTAATGCTTCTATTAATGTATCCCAAAACTGTGAATTCACCTTTTGTGCAGCTGCCTCCCTGCAGATTCACGTTAAGTCCTATGATCTACCAGGACTCCCAGATCCTTCTCTGTGGTGTTACCATCCAGTCAGGTGTCGCCCATTTTGTATTTGTATTTTTGATTATTCTTCCCAATGTGTAGCACCTTACAATTGTCAGCATTGAACTTCATTAGCTGCAGCCTAGCTTTTCAGTCTCTCAATATCCTTCTGAATTCCACTCCAGTTCTCCAGCACGTTTTGCAGTCCCTTCCCAATTTTGCGTCATCTGCAAACTTGCTTGAGAAGCTGTTTATGCCAGCCTCCAAGTCATTAACAAACACATTGGAAGGTGGCATTGTTAAGGTTTTATTTTGCTTTTAATCAGATAACAAAATTAAATATATTGGCATTGGAACCTACTGCATTTTCTTTCATAAAACTTGTTCCCAGATAGAAATACATCTTTTGTTTTTTGAAAGGCAGATTTGTTCCTGAAAAATGCTGGTAAGATAGAAGTAAGTAACTGAATAATAACAGTTACTTCATTCATTTCCTCCCTCCCACCCTGCAGAGGCATACCCTGCAGAAACTGCTATTCCTGTATTTCCTTGTTTATAAAGCACCAATTTCTAACTGCTGATTTTTGGGAAAAGTGTACATGTTGCATGCAAGAACATGCGACTTGGTATTGTATTGGTGTAGGGCTCCTGGTCTTTCATAATTGAGTGTTATCTGGGTCTATGTGGTATTCTCTGACATCTGTGGTACACTGAACAAATTGGTGGCAAAGTAGCTGTGCAAGATCTTGTATTGTATCTGCCCTCTGATAGGGTATAAATCTGCTATAAAACCTGAAACAAAGAAACTTGGAGGGTTAGGCAGAACTTCCAGAACTATCAAGCAACTGTAACAACTATCAAGCAAAGTGTAATGTTGAAACAATCTTATTTTTCAGACTCTTTGCATGAAGACTCCACCTCTGAAACTCCTTTTGATGTTGCAGTAGGTTCACTTTTAATTTTACTTGAGTCTGTTTATAGGATGATGCTTTTCAACCATGGCAGGGGCCTAGACTTGATGATCTTACAGGTCCCTTCTGGTCCTATTATTCTATGATTCTATAACCTGCCTTCTAAATTGCTTCTGCAAAATTATCTGAACTGCTGCAGTGAATTAATTACAGAAGAAGACAGTATCCGATAATTTCTGACCTGGTAATTTTAATGAATGGAGCCCTTCTCTCATCAACTTGTGATATCTCTACAACTGTTTGTTCCTTACTGTATAATCTGGGTGCGGGTTGAGCCAAATGGAAGAGTTGAAATCAGAAGAAAACAAATTCTTAATGTCTGTCAAACTGCTTGATCCTTTACTTGTCTAAACTGCCAGCTGTCTAGAAAATCAAACCCTTAGGTCTTTTGCTTGTAAAAGTATCCCTCCCCTCTCTCCCCCTTTTCCTTCTTGCATACACTTTGTTAAAAACAGATCCTGTGCTACCTTCTCTTCTGACCTCCTTCCATCTTACTAGACTGCCTCACCTCTACTATCTTGTAGTCCTGGTCTTGTCAAAAGAGGCCTAGGTGTTCCAGTCCATTAGAAATGCAGTGGGATTTGGGTGTCTAACTCCTTTAGGGGTGGAGCTGTTCACAGGAGTCGAAATGTGGATTTCAGCCATAATGGATACTTCCATGTCCAAAACCGAGCTGGTATCTATTGGCTCATTTCTCATCACGGGAGGAAATTAAAATGCAAGGCAGGGGAGGGGAGGAGGGCAGGGGTTATGTGCTAGCAGTAAAAAGTTTTTTAATTGGCTATTGCTGTAGAGCAGTGGTTATCAAACTGTATTCTGCAGAACCCAGGAGTTCTACAAAAAGATTGGGACAATGGCAGACTGGACCCGGGAGTAGGGGCAGGGGTTTTTGTGGCCAGAGAAGTGATATGAAAAGATTCTGTGACTTCAGGAAGTTTGTTAAACCACTGCTCTGAGAAACATGTCACAGTCCCTTATTGCCACATTGGAGTTAAGATCTTCAACTGTTTTGTTAGTCTCTGCCAAGAATGTCAGACGTGGCCTGTGGGCCAGATCCCTGTAGAGCCCTAGGATCTTGCCTGCGGGTCTTGGACTGTCCCTGTGCATTGGTATGGTGCATGGGCTGGGCCCAGTGCTACATGTGGCACAGCGGGCTAGTCCAGTGAATGTGCTGCCTGCACCGGACTGGCCTTGCATGCTGGCTCTGGCACACAAGGACAGCCTGAGGCTGAATCCAGACTAGCCCCGGGGCCAGCATGTGGGGTGGGTCCAGTGGGGCACCCCATGCAGTATGTACCACATGCACCAAGCGCAAAGTGAGGCTGGCATACATTATGTGCAGGACTGGACTGGCCGTCCATGCTGTCTGCAGCACCCTGCCGGATGGTTCCATCACGGCCTTATCTAGCCTAACCCCTACCTGTCCCGCAGCTTTCTGCTTTAGGCTTTCTGCATCCTTAAGAAGATTAATATTCTTCTAGAAAACCTATACTTTGCCTTTAAACGTACACCTTAGCTGTGGGGTCTCATTTGATAGTGGGCCGAGAGCTCTACATTCTTTACTAGTCTCGTGAGCCCTCAATCAAAGCATTGTCCACTGCCTCTTGTCCCTAGGTTTACACGTGGCCTGTTAATTGTTCTGACACCAATGCATAAGCTGTCTATTGACAGTGACTTTTAGTATGACGAAATCAGTAGGGAAATAAATCTGCTCTTTCTACAGTGCTGGAAAGTGGTTAACTGCTGCCTGAACGTTTGTTTTAATTTTCGTTACAGCCAAATCTCGACTGCAGTCTTCCTTTCACCCCACTCAGAAATGAAGCACAGAAGTTTACAGAAGCTTCAGTATGCAATGACCTAATTGTATTTTCTCCCCTTTCTGCCTCTGGGGAAAAGTGAAGACTGATTTGGAATTCAGTGTGTACATTGAATATTTAGAGACGTTTGGAATTACCAGTGTATTCGCCTTGAGCTGCATACTCAAAGTAAATGTCTAACCTGGGATTGTACAATAGAGCTCCTTATTAAATGTTTTTCATAACACTTTTTATAAAGCAGATACTGCAATTTAGCTGCTGTATGGTAGTGGCCAGTGTGTCTGAAACAGTATATCTGTATCCATTTGTGGCATGCATCCTGTGACTCCTACTTAGGGATAAAATATTTAAGGCATAAGCTTTTTCACAGTTCCTGTCCCTTTCAAGATCTACATTTATATTTTTATTAAACTTGGCTTTTCCTGTCTGTCCTTCCTTATATTGTCTTAATTCAATGCATAAAATATGAGGTGTACAATCTATGCTATGGGTACACAGCTAACTGCAGCTATATCTCCTCTTTGGTCTGAGCTCCCCTCCCCATCTCTCCAGGTGTCAATCTTACGTTTATCACTCTGGAGTCAAGTATTGCAGTTGTCCTATTCTCACTGGGCACTAAAATAGAGTGTACTGTGCATCAACCATTTTCTCCCACCAGATGTGTCTGGCAATGGTACCTGTGCTCCTGAACAATGGGACACTAAACAGCTGTGCTTAGTAACCAAAGCAGCTTTTGTGAAAACACACCATTATTTCTTTTAAGAGTAGGGACAAAGTATTCTGGAGAAAAGTTTTTAAAACCAGGTTATACGTGTCAAGATTTATCAGGTGATGATATATAAGCAGGTTCCACTTTTTTAGACACCAGAGAGGGTGTCTGTGTGTCACCCTGATTTCTCCAAGCAGTTCTTTTAAACTTGTCACTGTTCCTTTTATCTGAGTTGCTGGCCCTTCTCTGGTGCTGCTGGTACTCCTAAAAACCTCATGTATTTGTAAAATACATTATTCTAAGCTAGCCTCACAGATTTCACAGACATTAGGGCTGGAAGGGACCTTGGAAGATCATTGAGTCCAACCCCCTGCCCCAGGGGCATGAACTCAGCTGGGGTCATAGGATCCCAGCAAGATAAATATCCAATTTTCTCTTGAAGGCGTTCACAGTAGGTGCTTGAACCACACCTGATGGCAGACTATTCCAGACCTTGGGGGCTAGGACAGTAAAGAAATTCTTCCTTATGTCCAGCCTGAAACGGTTTTGCAGGAGTTTATAACTGTTCGACCTAGTTATCCCATGGGGCACTCTGGTGAACAAACGTTCCCCCAGATACTGGTGGTCACCCCTGATAAATGTATAAGTGGCTGTCAGATCACCCCTAAGCCTGCGCTTTTCCTGGCTGAAGAGTCTCACAGCTCTCAGCCTGTCGTCGTAAGGTCTGTTTTCCTGACCTCTGATCATGCGCGTGGCTCTTCTCTGGACTCTCTCAAGCTTCTCCACATCCTTTTTGAATTGTGGAGCCCAAAACTGGACACAATGCTCCAGCCGTGGCCTCACCAAGGCCGAGTACAAGGGGAGAATGACGTCCCGGGATTTGCTTGAGAAGCATCTATGGATGCAAGCCAGCATTTTGCTCGCTTTACTAGCCGCAGCATCGCATTGCAGGCTCATGTTCATCTTGTCATCAGTGATGACCCCCAAGTCTCTTTCTTCCATAGTGCTAGCCAGCGTAGCACTGCCGAGCCTATAAGGATGCTGCAGGTTTTTCCTCCCAAGGTGGAGAACCTTGCATTTTTCAGTGTTAAACACCATCAGGTTCTCGTCCACCCATTTCCTGAGCTTGTCAAGATCTGGCTGGATCACCCTCCTGTCCTCAGGTGTGGATGCTTTACCCCAAAGTTTGGTATCATCGGGAAACTTGGCCCGTCTGCTTCTGACTCGTATGTCCACATCATTAATGAAGATGTTGAACAATATAGGTCGGAGGACAGAGTTTTGGGGGACCTCACTGGTCACAGGACACCATGATGAGTGACTTCCGTCAACCACCACCCTCTGAGTCTGACCATGGAGCCAATTCCTCAGCCAGCAGATTGTGGTGGACTCCTTTCTTCTTGAATTTTTAACTCCCTCCTAAACAACCAATTTAACATTCAGTATGAAACAATTAGAGCAGTTCCAGGTGTAGAGCTACAAAAATTACTTTAACATTGTGCAATGCTCAGTTTTAAACAATACTTTAACTTGCACCTTTTCCTAGCTTTGCTTCAGACCAGTTCTTTCAGATGTACAGTATCTCTCTACAGTTATGATGCTTACTCCTGCATCTTGTATCTGACCGGGCTCCTGTTTCAGAATTAACAAGAAAGTTCTGTACTAATGACGCTAGATTAGCATCCTCCACTTTTGTTTCAATACATTAACCTGTCTTACCATAGTAGTATTGGATACTTTTTAAAATACTAAGCTTGTTGCCCTGTGGGGTCAGGCCAACTCTCAGGATATCAATACTGCACTGTTAGACAGGAGGGTGTAACACAATTGCATGTATACAAACACACACATCAATTAGATGCATACACACGCACACTACCAGCTCAGGCACATGCACATTCAAACCAGCCTAGGCACATGCATATCTATTACCAATTCAAGCACAAACACTATACAACCCAGAAGTTAGACACAGATCACTAATTCATATATCATGCACACGATGCCATATATATACATACACACACTGTCTCACACTAGCAACTTGGATACACACACATGCAAAATAACTAGTTTAAGTTAATGCACACCTATCACCAGTTTAAGCCCATACATGCTACACACACCAAATTTAGACAGAATCAGTTACCAGTTACCAATACCTGCACATCCAATACACATATGTGGATTACTAATTCATATACCACACACACAATGATATTTATATATGTGTGTGTGTGTATTCACTAATTTACACACGTACCACCGACATACACACAAGTGAGTTCCTAAGTTGGGTATTGTGATATGTATGTATGTATGTATGAGCTTGGTATACTTGGGATACCTGGGGAAAGGTTAAGGTAAGAGAGTAGCAGTGTAGGAAGTGAAAGTTGCTGGAAATGAAAGTCACCGGGACCAGGATTAGAACCAACCGGTAGACTAGAGGGGCCTGGGCTGAAGAACTGAGGATTAGGGGTAACTTTAGGTTAAATGATCTTAACTGATTAAAAGACAATGCCTAAAGCCCGCAGAACAGGGAAGAGGCTGAGGCTGGGACTGGAGCCAGAGCTATGGGGGAGCTGAAAAGGTAGGTGAGGAGAGGGAAAATGGGACTAAGGGAAAGTGTGGGTGTTAAAGAGGGGCTCTGGGTGTGGGGAGCCAGAGGATGACTCCAGGGCAGCTAGAGAAGATGCAGGGAGCAGCATGAGGTGCTGGGGACTGGAGAAAGGCTCCAGCTGCTGGAGAAAACTGCGGGACAGCCACAAGGAGCTGGGATGACTACAGAAGGTGTGGGGGAGAGAGATGGACAGCAGAAAATCACAGGAAAAGTGTCAGGAGAGACCGAAAGGCGGCAGGGCAGCGGGAAAGCAGAGAAAGGTAGGAAGTCACAGGGAAAAGGCAGTAGATGGCACGGGAGGCTGAAAGGCAGCAGGGACAGCATGAAAGCAAGGAGAGGCTGAGAGGTGGCAGGAAAGGAGAGATGGAATTGGGAGGAGATTGGGAAACTAGCAGAGATGGGGGCTGGAGCTGGGAGAGAGAGAGAGAGAGAGAACGAGGCTGGAATTTAAGATAGGGGAGGGACTGGGATTCAGTAAAAAATGATCCAACTTGGGGTTGCAAATGACAGTGGTTTTATTGAACTGGGGAGATGGTGACACAATGTCTTATTAGTTCTCGCACACACACACGTACATGTACTTGTTAGAGAGGCGTGGTGCAGGGGCTGAAGTCCAGGAGGAGAGAGACAGAGAGAGAGTCCAAATTATAGGAGGAGGTGTGCAAATAATATCTACCTATCCCAGGCTGGAAGGGGGTCCTTGTCCAGAAGGTGTTGTCCATAAGGGGGTTGCTGGCAGGGCCTCTGGGTGGATAGGTGGTGTTGCCTGGTGCTGGTCCAGATAGAGAGGGTGTCCCCACTGCGTCTGTCTTGTGTGACCCTAGTGACAGGAGGCATGCCCAGGCAAGGGTCAGCTCCTGGTGTACTGAGCATGTGTGCTCCATGCAGGGATGTGCAGTTTTGGGTGTCTAATGGTGAGAGTTGCTGGTTCTGCAGGGTCTTTTGTCTTTCAAATGGTGGGTTCTTGTTTCTGTTCCTGGATGAGGTCCGTGGTTCTTGGATGAATCAATGTGAGGTGATGGCCCAGTCATTGCAGGCCATTCAGCAGAGGCCTGCTACCATTGTATTTCAATCATTCCCAATCACTCATTCATCCGAGAACCAATTTACATGGGAGGGATACATGACTCATACAGCTGCAACATGGGATGCCCAGGCAGAGGACACAAGATGGAGGCTTGACATATAAAATGGAAACTTGATATGACTTTGGTTCGCTTACAAACACAGGCTTAAACCACACAATATCCATATGAAACAATAAAAATCAATACGAAAAATGATAATAATACAATATACAACAGTAAGAATCAATACAAACCTAATAATACAATATAAAGCAGTAGCTATCCAAAACCAAAAATTTGCTACCAAAATAAAAATGTTTAAAGCTTATCCTAAGCCTGAGCTCACTTATACTTATCTATAGGGAATAGAGAGGGAGAGACAAAGTCAGAAATGGTTGGGGAAGGGGAGGGAATGCATTTTAAAATACATTTAAACAAAAGAAATACTGGGGGTTTTGCTACAAGCTCAGCCTTTAGGGTACCTCACATTTTGTAAAAACTGATTGGAGAAAGAGGAATACAATGTTCTTTAAACTCCTGTGCAGTCAGGAGCTTAGAGAGCATTATACATGAAACGTTAGTAGATGTGCATGTAATTCTGCTGGGGGGGGTGTCTTTCTAAGAGAAAGTTAATGACATACCTTTTGGTCTCATCTCCATTGATAGCAACTCAGACAGATATTGGTTGCAGTGCAGTGTGACAATTGATTTAATTAGCCTTAAAAGTACTAAAGAGATGTGACACAGCCTGAATTTGTAACAAAGTACTGTACTCTTGAGATTTTCTTTTAAAAGTAGTGGCAAGCACAGGACTCTTTTTGCTTCACAAACGTTAAAACATCTGAAAAGGCAAAGAAAATCTGATCGTAACATACTTTGTCTCTTTTGGGGTTTAAATTAAAACCAAACAGGCAAATAAACCTCTCCTTCTGCATCCAGGTATAAGAAAAACTGGTTTGGCTAAACTTGCTCACTCTAACAAAAAGGGAAAGAAGATAGCTCAGTGCCTAGGGCACTAGACTGGGACTTGAAAGACTCATGTTCAAGTCCTTGCTCTGTTATAGCCTTCCTCTATGACCTTGGACATCTGGGCTAGGTCAGCCAAGTTCCTGACAGGACAGATATCTAATTTACTGTGGAATTGAGTCCAACCCTTATTTGTCACCAGCATCATCAGACTTCTGCAGGGCACCTGTAAAACTGCATGTATCCTGCTGCTGTCAATCTTCCTTGGCCTGTTTCACCTGTGGAGCCTGGTCAGTGAAGTGTACTTGTAGCCTGTCTGCCCAAAAAAGCAGCTGGGGGTAAGACATGTTGTTGGGAGCGGGAGAGGAAGCAAGAAGTTGACCCTAGGCCAAGGGTGAGGAACGCGGGAGATTCAGGTTGCAGGTCTTTGCTCTCGTGGTTAGTTATTTAAAAAAGGGACTGCTCCAGAAACTGGAATACCTGGTGGTCTGAGGGCACTCTGCAATGATGGAGACCTGCATTCAAATCTTGCTCCAAATTAGGCAGGGTGGGAAATTGAAGATTGGTTTCCCAGCTTACTGGCCACTGAGGGGTGGAGGAGAAATGTCTTCTGATGGTTGCTTCATTAGGAAGTCCTGATCTGTCTGAAGTACTTAATGGCAGGAGAAGGTTTGTAACTGTGGCAGGGCAGGGGGTGTGTGCAACAGAGCTTGCCTGGGTGATGCAGTGGAGGTGCAGGTACAGTCTGCCTGCACACTCACTATCCTGCCCGTGGCTGCCCCGTGACATGCCACATGAGGCCGAGCCATGCTCACTCCTGCCTGGGGCAGCCCACACCTGCCAATAACAGCCGTGGCCCTGCACAGCTTCCTGGTGGGGCTGCAGCTGCCCAGGCACTGCTTGGCTCTCCAGTGGCTTCTCCTCCTCCTGCCCCTGCTGTGCTGCTCCCAGCGGGGGGGGAAGCTGCAGCTGGGCAGCTTCTACCCCAGCCCATGGGGCTCCAGTTCCAATGCCAGCTGCAGGGCAGAGCAGGGCAGCACAGGGAAGCTGTTCACTGCTGCCCTGGTGCGACATCCCCTGTGCACAGGCAGCAGCAGGGGCGACGGTGTGGGGTTGTGCCCCTTGCTGCTGCCACATGGGCAGGGGATGCGTCACCAGGGCAGTGCAGAGCTCACAGCGGCAACGAGATCTCTGCGCAGCCCTGCTGTTCCCTGCAGTGTGGGGTCACGCCTGTTGGGCTGCAGAGACGCTGGGGGAGGGCATTAGGGCAAGAGCCTGAGGCCACTGTGGGCAGCCTGTGCCCACCCCTGCCCTGCGCACAGATCTGAGAGGGCACAGGCCCCTGCCATGGTTGAAAAGCATCACCCCTGTCTCCCACCGGGAGTGCGCACAGCAGTGGAGCCACCCCTCCTTCCCCCCTGGATGAGCTGCCTTCCCCATCCCACTCCCCAGTGGGGCCCTGCAGCCATACCTTCCAGCCCAAAGCCCCACACATCACCCAGCTGGGCAGCAGCCTCAGCCCCAGTCCTGCCAAACTGGCCTCAATTCATGCCCCCCTCCCCAATTTACCTGGGTGAGCTGCTCTCCCGGCTGCCTGGCGGCTGTGTGCATATACGTGCATGTGGCACCCTCTGCCTGACCGCTCTCCTCCCGCTCCCTCCAACCCCCTTCTGGCTGAAACTCTGCCAGCTTGCACAGCACTCGCTGCAGCACTGCGAAATCAGTGGATTTCTCTGTTACAATGAGAAATCCACATTTTCTCCAGGTAAAGGGGAAAATTCATGTTTTTCTCCATTTCCCATGGGAAACAGATCCCTGTTAATTAAAATCATCAGAGGTTTTCACGGCTGTGCTTTCAACAATGGAATTGTCCAAAGTTATACTGACTTTGGTTTCATTTGTCTATTAAACTTTTGCTGTGCATTTCATTTATTGATGTGTTCAGGAGACGGGCAGCAGCGAAAGCAAAGTCCATCTCTCGTGGAGCTGTTTTCCAGGCCAGAGGTCTACTGCATAGTAAAGTCAGTGTCAGCACTATGCAAAAGAGAGACAGTTGGTTTCCCTGACACTTATGGAAGAAAAATCAAAAGCACAGATATTGAAAGGGAGATAGATAGCTGACTGTGTGACAGCACTGCTGAGAAGGATCTTACGAGTTTGGTGGAATGAAGACTATATGAGCCGGCAGTGTGACAGTGTATCAACAGGTATGTGGAGTGGAAAGCACAGAAGATGATAGTGCCACTTTGTGGTGCTAGTTGGGCCTCATCTGGTTAGGCAGATGTGGGAAGACTGCTACAAGGAAGAGGGAGAATACCTTTTCTCCCTTGCTGCAGAGTTGGATGTAAGCAGTGTCTTGAAAGTGTAACACATTAAGTTTAGATGGGATATTAGGAAAAACGTCTTCACTGTTCATGCAGCGAGGTGGTGGAACAACCCATCTAAGGAAGTTGTGAAACCTCCTTCCCTGGAGCTTTTTCAAGAAGAGGCTGGATAAATATGTGTCAGGGATGATATAAGCATGATGATGCCTGGAGTGTGTTGTGAAAAGCAGCAGTTGGAAGCGCAGGAGACCCCATGTGCATTGTTCAGAGCTCATGAGAAGAGCTCTGCAGCCTAGAGCAGGTGAATAAAACAGCTCCATAACTGGATTTGGGTATGAAAGATGATTAAAGGAGCTGGGATAAGTTTATGCTGGAGATGGGTAAGGAGTTCTGGCTCTCTGGTCTAGGTGTGTGGAGTTATGCCCAGGTTGCAGAGGGCATTTTATCCTGTGCTTCTAGCTTTTACTCAGCCATGTGGAGCTGGGAAGGATTTCTTTTTTCCTCCTGTGGTTATGGCTGTCATTTTTGGGTTTTTTTAACCTTTTTTTTTTCCCTTCAGAAATATTGTGTTGACTGCAGCCAAGGCTGGAGACTTGAATTGGGGTGTGTTGATGCCCTTGCTGGGAGTTGAAGCCCAGAGTTACCTGGCCTTGAGGTCTTGCTTCTCTGCTCTGTCAGGCCACATCTGAGATCAAGAAGGATTTTTGCCATATGACTTGCATGAACTGTAGATGCTGCTGCCTGTGTTGCCAGCCTCGGCTGTTTTCAAGGGGCTTCAGCCGAGCTGCAGATGTGTTACCTAAAGCCTGTTTCTGAGTAACCGTAGTGTGAACCTTTGCACATGTGACAACTAACCTGATCAGCAAGTAAAGGAAACCATTAAATAATTGAAGCACAAGGCCTGAAAGGAGATAACGGAAGACCATACATTAAATAATTCATATAAAGCTATGATATAATGTATCTTAAAATACTAATAGTAGTGACTGATGAAACCAAATGTATTAGATGTTATTTTGCTATGATAGATAATTTTTTGTTAAAAAGCTTAGATAAGTAAGCATTGTAAAAAACAAAAACAGCCTTGTCCGAGAAGACCATAAAGTAAGGTAAAGAAGAAACAGGAACAGCATTGCACAATGGGGAAGGAAAGGAGATAAGAAACCCTCCCTCTTTCCCAAGGTTATGAATCCCAACCAATTGACACAAGTGCAAGCCCACAAGTGATCTGGTTCAGTCCAGTTCCAAAAGTTTCAGTGAAACACAGAAATGCAAATAAATCCAATCGGAGATCATTTATTAAAATATTAAAACCAGCCATCTCTAAGTATTAGGCATTGGTTGGAGGAAATATGGAGAACTCGGCAAATTCAAGAAGACCTGCTACCAATCTGTGCGCCTCCCACCTCCCAAGTCTCCCAGCTGGCAGAGGTGGGACTCTATGTTGTGCTGTAGTGGATACATGGTTGTTTTCATGTTTTAAGGTGCGAGCAAATAAGGCTGGGCTGGAGACCTGTTTCTGCCTCTTTAGAAGTAACCTTGTTGGGTAGGCTACTGATAAATGTGGGCAACACCTGTCCCTCTGGAGGTGGGGGGCATAAGTCCTCTTTCATGGATCTCTTGACCATACTTTGACAACTACGTCTTGTCCTAGGAATGGCAGAACATTGTCCTCATCCCCCTGCTTTACCTGTGGTAGCTGACACAGGGACCCTCTCTATCCTGGCAAAGGCTCTCTGAAAAAAAGTCAATTACATTTAAGACAAGTCCACTTGTTTTCTTAAATATGCCAGTGTGATGAGATGATCCTCGTAATAGAGGGGAGAGAAACCAGCTTCTTGAAATCTGTATAGAAACTCCAAAAGTGTTTACCTGGACTGACACTTATGTGATCTTATTCCCACCATGACAGTTGCTTAAATCTGCTTTTTAAGGCACTTTTTTTAAATATAGCCCCTCGTTTTCTTTCTCCTGGGATGGATTCTGCCCGTTTTGAAAGAGCTTCAGCACCATTTCTGTTCTTTGCTGCTTGCTTTGAGCAGATCTATGCTTATCAGAACCTGCTGCCAAACTAAAGAATAAGTTATTTTAAAAGCGCCCAGCGCTGCGGCGCCTGCATTTGTATAAATGGTGAAATGTGCATCAGCGCTGAGAAAATAGCAGTGGCATGCTTTTGAACTAAAGCACATCAAGTGTGTTTTAGTTCAAAAGCGCACACCACCATTTTCTCCGCGCTGACGTGCATTTTGCCATTTATACAAATGTATGCAATGCAGCGCCAGGCACCTCAACTTGTGTGCAGAGCAGACTCGATTAACTGAGTCTGCTCTAACACACTGGTTCTCTGGCGCATTGGAGCAGACAAATGTATGTGTATAAATGCCCTTGCTTGTCTTGTTCTTATTTTTCTGTACTTCTGTCAAAAGAAAGAACCTCTTGTTAATCTCTTTTGGCCTTCATTAAATAGCTCTTCTCCCCTCTAATATGCCAGCTAAACTCTGATTGCTAGGAAAGATCTGGGCCCATTTTCTAATACTTCGAATAAGAAACGTAGAAGCCAACATTATCTTTAGCAAAAGCATCATTTATTATCACACAGTGGACAGAACCTTAAAAAAACCCCCAGGAAGGTAAGTGCCATTCAGGAAGTATTAAGAGTTGCGTTTCACGGTGAAGTGATCTTACAAATGATCTTACAAAACATCTCGTATTCATATCACAGTGTGTGTGACGCTGCCGAGAGTGATGTCCCCGGCAATGCAAAGCCTGGTGATTTCATTCAGGTTCCTCACCCGGTAGTTGTACTGCATCAAGTGAGCATCATTGACGGCCACCTTGAAATGATCTGTCTCACAAAGAATTTGGATCTGAAATTTGATTACGAAGCCGAGAGGTTAGTTTAAGACTAAAACTTTTATATCAAGGACTGAGTCTCAGATTATGGGGCCTATTAGCTCTAGCCTACTGTTTGGAATGAGAAATGGGTTCTTATTGGTAGAAAGCAGTTGCTATCTGAGTATGTTAAAACGAGTACTGCCATAGTAGGCATCTTGTACAAATGTTGCCTGCTTTTCTGGCAGCACTTCCATGAGGGTTCAGGAGCCCTTTCCTGCCAATACTATGTCCTTAGTCATCTTGAGACAGGCCAATGCTCTGCAAACAGCAGCACCTCCACCTTTTGTGGCCAAAGTCAAGCTGTGACCAAACACAAAACTATCCTATAGAAAATATTTCTTTACAAGCAGTTTTCTGTTAGCTGGTTTTCCTTCCCATCTACTGGGAGACTGCTGATATGAAACTTGTTTTATCAAGGTTCAAAGTCCTTGTAGATGCCCCGTTGAGCGCCAGCAGAGAGAATCGGTGTTGGTGGGGGCAGGGTAAAGAACCTGTTGAGAAAGTCATGGAAACAGCACACTGCACGAAGCTGCCAGTTCTTCCAAGATCTTGTCTGTGTGCCTCCGGACAAGTCACAGCAGCAGTTTTCTTTATAACCAGATTCATTGACTTTTTTTTTTTTAAAGTATCAAAGCCTTTGTAGCATTTTTTTTCCATTATGGACAATCCTGACCGTCTGCATCTTTCCTCTGGCTAACAAAATGATCAAGGGCCAAACAAGCTTCCTAATGCTGCCCTGCTAACACATCCGTATCTGAAGGTAAAACATAACCATAGACTGACAAGGTAGCTTACTGTTTGTACCCAGTTATTATTTAGAAAGCAGAGCAAAGGGCTAAATTACTATATTTTCTTGCATATAATGCTTGTGGCTTTACTATTCAAGCAGCTGAAGGAGACAATTGACTTATTAGGTCACTGTTCACTTTAGTCTTTCCTTTTTAATAGTCTTATCATTGCACTAATCAAGCTCACCTTTCTTCAGGCAATTTTGCTTTCTGATAGTCATTCCTGGTCTCTCACCTACTATTTTTTCAACTCTGAGGATTATAGCTCTTTTCAAAATCATCCATCCATCCATCCACAGAGCCCAGCCTTCAGCATTAGCTAGGGCTTCAGCTTTAGTTAAGTGGCAACGGGAGGGTATGTCAGCTGAAGATTACTCTACCCCTGCTCTATGAAGTCATAACTCTGGAAAAGTTTTTTTCATTCTGCCTTTTGAAAACAAGGTGCCTATTTGTTCTCTGTATGGGAGAAAAGATGGTACTATATTTAACTACTGAGAGCTAGAAAATGCACACGTAAACATGTTTTAGATCAAGGATGACTTGACTCAGATAAAGTTTACTTTTTACCTTAAAAGGTCTGCCAGCTTCAAATGGGAACATGGGTGCTGTTCTATCCTCCTTTCCCCAGTTATTCTGAAGCTTCGTGTTACAAACTATCACTTTTTTGTTGTCTTCATTGAAGCGGGGATTGAAGTGGAAGGCAACATCCTGCCCTTTCATGAAATCTATGTTAAATCTGCAAGAGACAAGAATGGAGCAGCTGCTCTATGCCATGGGACTGACTCTAGGCTTCTTCACAAAAAGTCACAGGAAGCGGAGGAGCCAATTAAAGCAAGCCCAGCCTTTCTGGATATGCTTATGCTATTACATGCTGCCTGAAACTAGAAGAGAAAGCCCCGTCTTGGAAGTTTGCTTTTGAATGTTGCTGCCAATTTCCAATCTAATAATCTTGGAAACTTGCTGCCTGGACGGCCTTAACACTGATGCTGAGACCGAGCAGATCAGGCATCCCAATGAACGCAGAACATGGTCTAAATGGTTTCAGCGAGTCTAGCTGGGGACTCCCACCTCGCCACTGTGTCTGTCTTACTGAGGAACCCCAGGGCCTTCCTCACTCCTGTTTGCATTTACAATGAGTTACTTTGAAAAGCTGCTGCTTCAAAGATGCGTCTGGTCATTTCTCAAGAACTGGATGTTGTGGTCCTACTGACAGATCCCTCCAAAGTGCCCCAAGATCTTTGGCAACTTGGGCCATCTTAATACACAGCACAGTGGAGGCCTGCTTGTTCTCTGAAGCAGAGACTAAGAGGAGGTTGGTCACTGCAGAGACTGTGTGGAAAATTCAGTTAATAAACACTGACTCAGAGTCACATGTGGGAGGCCCAGGTCACTTCCTTCTTCCTCAGCTGCAAGCTGGGTAGTAACTTGCTAGGACAGGCTAGTGGCAGAAGCAAGCACCACTTGGATTAGCTCAGCTGCAGTCCTTGGTAGGTGGAGGGGACAGAGGCAAGGCTCCTCCTTGATGTTTGTGACAGCTGAAAGCACCTGACAAATGGCATCTACTTCTGCACATATGAGCCTCATGCTCAGCCAGCCCATGCAAGGATAAAGAGAGTTATTTTGCTTTATGTTCCTGCCTGGGCATGTGGTGCAAGCCACAGTGCGCTCCTGGTTAACCCTCCCCAGTTTGCTTAGTCCCTGCTGCAAGGCACCTGCTTCAGCTTTCCTTTTACCTGTCTGGCTTCGGGTTCATCATGCCTGTGATCGTGATGAGCAAACGAGGCACCAGTCCTGTCTGCAAGGGGAGCTCGAAGGGGACTTTCTGTGAAAGAGCACAAGTGTGGTTTTGTTAGTGAGAAACAGCCACAAAGTTGGCACTTGAGAGCACTGGCTTCCTCCGTGGGTGTTTGCATATGCATGAGGTGATGGTGATCCTAGCAACGCACCTGGAGATTGCCAGTCATTAGGCTCTTATTCCTGCAGGTAAGGTATCCCTGAGCCTCTGTGTACACAGCTGAAATTACTGTGATGCTGCCTGAAGGTGCATCTATTACCCGTGCTTTAGACCAGGGCGGGCCAACTTCGCTGGGGCTGGAGCTGGCACTGGCGCCCCCTGAGCTACAGGCCACACTGCACCTGCACATCCAGGGCCAGGTTAACCCTTTAGTGGTTAACCCCCCCTCCCTGCAGCTTAGGGCCCTATGCATGTGCCTAGTTTGCCTATGTGTTAATCTGGCCCTATACACACCCCACTTCACCAAGGGTGTGCAACCCCCTACACTACAGGTGTGTGTGCAGCCCTCCCCTGCCCTGCCAATGTCCTCTGCCAATGCACCCCACAGCCAGTCTCCCTTGACTCTGTCTCTAGGGATAGAGGTCAGGTAGCACAAGTCAGAGAGAGGAAGAGGATCCCTGAGGTCCTGGCAGGTGGCAGAGTGCTTGGGGGAGTACTGCCTGGACTGTGTGGGCCACATGTTATCCCCTTGGCAGCTGCATGCGGCCTGCAGGCTGTTAGGTTCTTGCAGCTGAGTCCATCTCTAACAGCTCCATCCTCCGCAGTGAGGTTCTTCAGAGCCTTTCACGCTCCCCTGCGGTGGTGCTCCAAGGGGGTGGCAGCCTTTCACGCTCCTGCTCCAAGGGGGTGGCAGCCTGAGCACTCGCAACTCTCTGGGAGGGCACCCTGCACATCCTGCACTTGCAGGATTTAACCCCTGTGCTTCTCATTCCAGGCCCCACTGTAGTTTCAGCGAGTCAGGTGCCTCGACTCCAGCTATTATGTTGGCAACGGCCTAAAGACAAAAGCAAGTGCATCACATAGCTCTCACCAATGCGGTGTCCCTTGGCTGTGTGGGAGGTCCTGACCCAGGTCCACTTTGGGGTGCAGTAGGAGGTGCTGCTGGCCCACTCGGTGGTTGTCCAGGGGCAGGAAATGTGCCAGGTCCCATGGGTGCTCCAGGATATGCCCCTGGAGCACCAGGAAATGCTCCTGGGCCTGCTGGTGCGCCAGGATAGGCCCCTGGTGCACCAGGATAGGCCCCTGGTACGCCAGGATAGGCCCCTGGTACGCCAGCATAGGCCCCTGGTACGCCAGCATAGGCCCCTGGTGCGCCAGGATAGGCCCCTGGTGCGCCAGGATAGGCCCCTGGTGCGCCAGGATAAGGCCCCGGGAAAGCCCCAGGATACCCTGGGAATGCTCCGGGACCTGAAGGTTGGTTTCCCCAGGGACCAGGAGGCCAGGCTGGGTTTGGAGGCGCATTCGGGTTTGGGTTTGGATTCCCAGATCCAGCCAAGGCATCGGATAACTGGCAGGGAGAAGAAAAGAAAGAAGGCATTAGCTCTGCCATTGCTCCAGCAGCCTCAGCAATCTATGCAAGTCTTCCCTGGGCTTCCCTGGGACCAGAATCAGGATAGCAGCCAGCCTGTGCTCTGCCGCCTTTCTATTAAGGTCTGATCCAAAGCCCGCTATAGCAAGCAGGAAGCTTTTTACTACATGTGGGGAGCGTTTTTGTTGGGAACAACAGCGGAGGAGAAAGACCTCATTACACAAGTCAAGAGATGACTGAGCCACTCATGCTAGGCAGACCCAAGAAAAGCAAAGGGAATTCTAGGCTGCATCAGGCAAAATCTTTCCAGCAGAGACGGGGAAATCCCAGTGGCTAGCAACACCTCATAGAAACACAGGCCAAAAAAAAGAAGGCATCCTGGGTCACTGGATCTAGTCCCCTGCAGCTGCAGAGAGCTATTTATCCAAGGAGTCCTAGAAATCATCCACTCCGACCCCCACTTGCCACAACCACAAAGCATCGGGGGACAGGAAAAAAAACACATCCCATGCTGCAAAGACAGGTACGCCCCTTCCCTCTGCCCACAATCTTTGCCAACCCAACTAGAGGGAAAAATTCTCTCTTGCCCTTAGATCTGGAGATCAGTTTGACCCTGAGTGGAAGAGCAAGGCTGTCCACTAGGAACTTGAGTATCACCTGCTGGAGCACTGTGCACCGTCCTGCTCGTGCATGTTCACCAAAAGGGAATTCAAATGGAAGCAGTGCAGCGAAGGGCCGCTGGGATCATAGGGAAGTCGGGCTGCAAGGGAGCTAGCTCGCAGGGTCATCTAGTCCAGCCCCTGCTCAGGGCAGCATCATCCCTGGCTAAACCATCCCAGCCATATGTCTGTCCAACTAACTCGTGAAAATTTCCAGGGACAGTGATTTCACAGCTTCCCTAGGTAGCCTGTTCCAGGATGATCAGGGGAGTTGAGAACCTGCCTTACAAGAGGATACCAGAAGCACTTGGCATTTTTGCCTAGCGTGAGGCAGGAGGTAAACACCTGAGCCAGAGAAGAGCTATTTAAGCTGAAGGATAGCGCTGGCACAAGGACAACTGGGTGTAAACTGTACATGAATAAATGCATGCTGGAAACTGGGAGATGGTTTCTAAATGGGAGAGTGAGATTCTGGAACAGCCGCCCGGCAGGAGTAGCGAGGGCAAAAAGAAAATCAGAAAAAACCCCCCCAATTAACAGCATTAAGTGGAAGGCAGATACATTTATGAAAAGGACTGTGATGTGGTTGTCATGAGGGAAGAAGACTAAACTAAATGATCCTAGCGCTCCCTGCCCCAAATTGGTGAAATGGACTCCAGTGAGCTTTAAAAAGCCTGTTTTTCCTTTTGCTTTCCCCCCTGCCCCCCAATTTCTGTAGGCAGCGAGCAGGGGTATAGGTTGTAGCTAAGGACATAGGCAGATAAGGTTCTTTGGGTAAATCAGTTCGAATAGTTGGTCTAATAAAAGACACCAGATTTACCCAAAGCACCTTGTCTACCCATGGGCAGTGAGCACCCATTTGTGCCCAACCTGACATTTCCAGAAAGCAATGTTAAGCAATAAATATCCAGACAAAAAGCTGAGCAATCTTGATGCGGTGCATGCTGATTTTCATGATACATTCTCCATACAAAGATCTCTGTTTTAATACAATGAAGAGAGGTGCCATCAAGCTCCCCTTGCAGGCGGGACTGGTGCCTCACTTGGTCTATGGTGAAGCCAAAGGCACACGGGTGAAAGGAAAGCCGAAGCAGCTTCCTTGCTTCAGGAGCTAAATGAACTGGGGAGGGTTAACCAGGAGCAAGCTGGGGCTTGCACTCCACACCCAGGCTGGAGCACAAAGCAATGCAATGTTGGCTGAAATGGACTTAAAGAAAAAAGTGAGGACTTACATTAAAACCGTCTGCCATTTTCCTGAAATAAAGACAAAAGAGCAAAGTTAAATGGTTACATTTAACACATTCTGCTTGCAATGGGAAATCTGCATTTTGCATTCTTACAGCCATGCTCAAAAGGTGGTCAAAATAATAGATTCCCATTTGTCTTGCTTGCCAGCTCAAATTAATGGACTTTCTCACATAAAAACACATGCTTTCCCCTCAAAAACATGCAGAGGAAAATTGGAGTGCTTGTTCTACGTGAGGAAAAGGGCTCCTCACAGGTCTGGAAATTGGGTGGGGGTGTGTTGAGCAGTGGAAACATGAATTGCCAGGGGGTTGGGTGCCATGGCAATTAACACTGCCACTGTTCCCTTCCCAGCCTCACTCCCACCCCCAGCCACCCGATTTCCAGAACTGTAGGGAGTCCTCGCTCCCCAACCAGATCAGGCTGGCACATGGGGTCGGTCTGCAGCTGAGGCACTGCGCCTGACCTGGCACATCACCCCAAACCCATTATTGACCTATGTGCTGGCTCTGGAGCCACTCGCTGGGTTGGGCTCCCATGTCTGCCCCCGAAGCCGGCAGGCCAGGTCGGGTCCCAGCCCCTAGCTCTGGTGTGCAACTCCCAGTCTGAGACTGCCGACCTTTGGTACTCAACTTGTATTCCAAGGTAAATCTTTTTTCCTCCGTGGGGTTTTCCAAAAGCAGGGTGCAGGTTATATTTGGTGGCGTTTATGTGGGAAAATATGGTATCACTGCTGCCAGTAGCATAGACAAGTGTTGTCTGTTAGCTACACCAGAGGGGTACGGCAGCTGTAAGAAAGCCTGCTACCCAGTGTTCAGTGGGGAAAGTACAATCCATTTGCAGATAAGAACATAGCTGCCCATCATATGTGGTGCTACATGCTGTTGCATACACCAAAATTTTAAATTAATACCTCCTTATATAGTCAAATATTACATTTTCGCTTGTTCTGCTCAAATGGGTGAGTATTTAGAGCAGTGAGAGACAGCTGTAGTTAAGTCTTGGAATCACAAAAACAGAGAAAATGAGGGTGCGAAGGGACCTTAGGAGGTCACATCTAGTCCAAACCCCAGCTCAAAGCAGGACCAGCCCCAACTACATCATCCCAGCCAAGGCTTTGTCTACCTGGGCCTTAAAAACCTCCAGGGATGGAGCTTCCACCACCTCTCTGGGTAGCCTGTTCCAGTGCTTTATCATCCTCCTAGTGAGAGAGTTTTTCCTAATATCCAACATAAACTTCCCTTGCTGCAACTTGAGCCCATTGCTCCTTGTTGTCATCTGCCTCTACTGAGAACAATTCAGCTCCAGCCTCTTTCAAACCCCCCTTCAGGGAGCTGAAGGCTGCTATTAAATCCCCCCTCAGTCTTCTCTTCTGCAGACTAAATAATCCCAGTTCTCTCAGCCTGTCCTTATAAATCATGTGCCCTTGAACCATTTTCATGGCCCTCCGCTGCTCTTTTTTACTGGGGGAGCAGAGTTCAGAGATCCCCCTGGTCCAGAGGAAACAGCTGGAGCTTTGTTTGCTTCCTAGCCCTGTGGGTCCCAACCTAGCACAGTGCTTAAATACACACTTAATTTTAATCCCGTGTGGGCCCATAGAAGGGAATGATCCTCTTTCTAGTAGTAAAATTGAATAAGTGCAGACGAGGTGTTGGATCAGGGTGTTCCAAAGAGCTGTCAAATGCGCATTGAACAAAGAGTGAAACAGTAAAATGTCCCCCCAAACACCCCCCCCAATGCCTCCATAGTCAACTAAGGCTTTACTTCCAGCTGTCCCAGATATACCACTTCCATCCAAACCTTTCTTGCAGTTGAAAGCATCAGCTGGTGGTGGTGGGTGGGGGGCAGAGGGTTTTACATACCCCTTGTAACACAGGTTCGAAGCCACAGAGTGGTTTCAAAACTCAGACTAGAACCAGAACCATACATAGACAACAAATGTGTGCCCTTAATATCTCAGTGCTCAGCATAACAGATTGTAAGAAACAAGAAAGGCCAGGTCTTGGCACACTCCAAGAGGCCTGCAGTGGAAGGGGAGGAAAAGCAGGGAGAAAGTTGTGTATCCTTTTCTTCCAAGCTTGATCAGATCTTCTGGCCCTTTTGCTCTGTGAGGAACTCTGCAGTCACTCCTGAGTGCATCTTTCTTAAAGGAGGCAAAACACTGTGCTATTGAGGGTGTGGTGCTCCAGAGGAAACCCAGCTCTGCACCGGACCACCCAGGAGGAGGTAAACTGGGGATACTTCCTTCAATTTTCCATGTGTTTTGTAGATCCCAAGATGCTGTTCGTGCAAAAGTGATGTGCCAGTAGGGCCAAAAGAGATGGTAAGCAGCACGCAGGCCTTGTGTTGGCTGCCTGTGCCTGGGAAGAATTGCTGTTCTTTTTGGGAGGATGCGGCAAGATACACTCTTTTAATTGGTCTCTTCCAAGATCCCCCTCTTGCCCCTCTACCCCAAGCAAGGCATTGGTGAGGATTTTTACAAGCTCACAAAGGCCACAAACTCTGCTCTTTCTGCCTTTGGTAATAAAGATTCTGCAGCCAGAAATTAGGTGACTTGATTGCTGGCTGCTTCCAGCAATCCCAGTCAGGTTCTTTATAGTCATGTAAGTAAAGCAAGGTCCCTGCCTGGTAAAACTGCAAGCATCTAAGGCACCGGTCAGCAACCTACTGCCTGCAGGCTGGATCTGGCCTGTGGCATTTGGCAACAGGGGACCATGATGGCAGAGGCTTTGCTGCTTGGCAGGAAGAAACTGCTGATGGTGGTGGGCAGGTCCCGGTGATGGCCCACCTTGGACTTGAGTTAGACTATTCTGGCCTACAGCTGAAAAATACTCTAAAAAACTGGTCTAAAATATAGACACAGGGGTAAGAATAGACAATAAAGGTGCACTGATACATCGGTCGCCTATTGGATTGGCACTGATAAAAGGAAAATTAATATTATCGGATATCAGCTTTTTTTGCCCACTGTAGGTGATAATGTCACCGATAAATATAATGTGCCTTCTGGCCGGGCCCCTGGACCCCGTGTACGTGCATGCAGCAGCCATGCACATGGCCAGCAATACAGCTGGGCAGTGTGGACAGCAGTGCCCTGCAGGTAAGTCTGTGGAGGGGGAACAGAAGAGGTGGGGGGGGGGGCAGATTGAGGCCCCCACAGTGGGGGAGGGAGTGGTGCAGGGGCAGGGGATGCTGCCTAGTCAGGGCAGTGAATGGGACCCTGGTGCTGGAACAGTCAAAGGGATGGAGCTGTGGGTGGCTTGTCCGGGGGTGTGGAGGGGGGGCAGCTCCCTGCCACTGCATGTACCCCCGGGAGAGGCATGGGGGGGGCATGTCCCCCCCCGATTTGTGCAAGGGGTGGAGGTGGGCTGCCCGCTGTTGGCTCAGGGCCAGGGGTAGCTCCAGCCTCTTCCCAGTGTGTGGGGGCTGGGCTCAGAGTGGGTGGCAGCAGAGCAGGCTCAGCTGTGCAGGGCAGGTGGCAGAGCTGAGTAGGGTGCGTATGGGGGGCTAAGACACATTTTGGGCTGGCTATATCCCCCCCAAACCCCGCCCCTGCTCGGGGAACTCTACTCTATTGCTTTCCCTTGGGAGCCCCACGTGGGCTACACATCCCCTGCCTGCCCTGAAGTGGGGGGTGCTCCCAAGGGAACGGCAACAGAGTAGAGTGCCCCAAGCAGTGGCGGGGTTTGGGGGGGATATAGCCAGCCCAAAATGTGTCTTAGCCCCCCATACGCCACCCCTCTCAGCACTGCTGCCCACTGGCCTGCCCTGCACAGCTGAGCCTATGCTGCTCCCACCCACTCTGAGCCCAGCCCCCCCACTGGGAAGAGGCTGGCACCACCCCTGGCCCTGATCCTACAGTGGGCAGCTTGACCTGCAAACAAATCTAGGAGGGGCCATGCCCCCCATGCCTCCACCTGGGGTGCACACAGGGGCAGGGACCTGTCCCCCTTCCTTCCCTCCACACCCCTGGATGAGCCAACTGCAGTTCCATCCTGCTACCTGTCCCAGCCCCAGGGTCGCATTCACTGCCCTGGCTGGGCAGTGCCCCCAGTCCCAGGCCCTGCCCCACTCCCTCCCTCACTGTGGGGGCCTCAACCTGCACCCCCCCCATACCCTTTCCCTCCCCCACACCCGTTCCCTCCACAGACTTACCTGCAGGGCACTACTCTCCCTGCCGCCCAGCTGTTCTCCTCTAAAGAAGTTATCAAACTGGTATCAGCCGATATGGCTGGTTAATAATCAGCTATCAGTATAGGCCAAGGAAATGTTTATCGGTGCACACCTATTAGACACTGTGCAAGAAGAAATCAGCTTAGTGCATTACCTGTTAGCTGGCTAGAGGGTCTTGCCCCTCCACTCAGGATCTGACTGATCACCATATTTGGGGTCAGGAAGGAATTTTATCAGAGGTGCACTGATTTATATTGGTCCATATCAGATTGGCACCAATAAAAGGAAAATTGACTTTACTGGCAATCGGCTTTTTTTGGCTGGTATAGCTGATAATATCACTGATAAATGCCATTTGTATACACGCAGCTGCAGCGTGCACGTGGCCAGGCATGCAGCCTGGAAGCTTGGAGAACAGCATCCAGCTGGTAAGTTTGTGGCGGGGTGAGGAAGGGGCATGGTGGGGACAGATTGAAGCCCCCATGGTAAGAGAGGGAGGGAGCGGGGCTGAGGCAGGGGCTGCCCAGCTGGGGAGGGGCAGGTCATGGAGTGCAGCAACAGTTGGAGTGTGTGGGGGGGCTGGGAGGGGGCAGCTCCCTACTGCAGCACATACCCCAGGGGAGGCATGGGGGGCATGTGCCCTCTGGATTTGTGCACAGGGTGAGGGTGGGTTTCCTGCTGTGTGCTCAGGGGTAGAGGCTGTGCCAGCCTCTTCCTGGCAGGGTGGGGCTGGGTCAGGGCTGTGCTCAGGGCGGGTGGCAGCAGCGCTGGAAGGAGGGCTACGGGGTGGGGGACACATGCTACGGTGAATTTTGGGGTGACAGTAACCTATCCTA